CAAAAAAAAAATTAAAAACCCACGATCTAGAGAATTGTATATAAGTTTCTGGTGGAGAGGGTTAAAAGGGCTGATTGTAGATCATGCATGTGGGAGGTTTCATGTTTCTCTAGCAACTTATACTGCTTTCTCCTTGGGATACTGGGGAGTGGGGCATCCAGGGCAGTCTTATTAGTTTGAAGGACTTATAAAGTTCCTGGGAGAGTGGGACTCGGAAGAGAGGAATAGAAAATTACCTTGAATTTTTATTGACTCAGGTGTGAGACCTTTGTGTTTTGAGTTTTCCATCAAGTTAAACAAAATCTGTCTAATATTTGAAATCATTTTAGTCTGAGTTCTTGCATGAGAGCTGGGGGCCCTTTCTGTAGAGACTTAGACAGGAACCAGATTCTGATATTTCTATAGTGAGAGTTCAAAGTAAAAAAGGAGACATGTAGTAAGAAGTCCTGAAGATTGAACCCAGACTATGTATATTCAGTACTTCAGGTCTAGACTACAGGTTACATGTGGGCTCCATGTAGGTGGCAAGAAAGAATGAGTAGCTATCAAGCCTGACACTATGGAGTCTGGCTAAGAAGTAGCTTGGTTTGGGGGCGATTGTTTTCTTAAAGTCATAACTGTTGAAATAAAACAGAGCTAGGCAATCAAGCCCTAGGCTTGCTCTCCAACTACAGAGAGAAAAGAAAGTAAGTCTCCTTATCAATTAAGTTAAGTATCCTTGCAGTGGGGCAGCTAGGCAGTGCAGTAGATAGAGTGCCAGGCCTAGAGTCAAAAAGACTCTTCTTTCTGAGTTCAAATCTGGCCTGAGAAACTTACTAGCCAGATAACCCTGGGCAAGTCACTTAACCCCATTTGCCTCAGTTTCCTCATCTGTAAAGTGAGCTGGAGAAGGAAATAGTAAACCACTCCAGTATCTTTGTCAAGAAAACTTCAAATGGGATCATGAAGAGTTGGACATGACTCAACAACGACAACAACAACAACAACAAAATCCTTGCATTAAATCCAATAACATGATCCATATTTCTATACTTCTTTAAGATTTGCAAATTACTTTCTTCCCAATAACTTCAAGAGGGATAGGATTCTGGGAAGATGGTGGAGTAGGTCAGAAAACTTTGGATCTCTAAATCTCCTCCATGGAATAAGACTGAACATTGCCTCAGGGGGAATGTAGAGCAGTGGAAATAAACAAAAGTCAGGGTAAAGCAGTTATTCTCCTAAAACAACCTCAGAAGACCCCAGGAAAGACCATACCTCCAGAAGCAGAGGTTTGGCCTGAGTGAATTGCATACACCTCCAGGCCAACTCTGCGGCATCAATAAACAGCAAGCCCTGGGGGCAGCTGGGGTTGGGTGGTAGCCTCAGCCTCAGAAACTTTCATCTCATGGACAGTATGGGGGTCCAACTGCTGAGTAGGAGAAGACTGAAGAACCCTCCATTGTTGAGGGACACCAAGCACAGCTGTGCTGACCAGACTCGTCCTGGGCTGGGCTGGGCTGGGCTGCTGCTGCAGGGGAGAAGGAGCTAGCACACACCTGGTGAGTATGGTCACAGAGGGGCAGGGACCCTGCTGGCTGTGGGCACTTGCAGGAGAGTAGAGCCCCTAGCTTCAGTTCCAGAGTAAAAACAGAAGAGGACAGCGCAGTAGATAGAGTACCAGCCTTGGAGTCAGGAGGACCTGAGTTCAAATCCAACCTCAGACACTTACTAGCTTCGTGACTCTGGGCAAGTCACTTAACCCCAATTGCCTCACCAAGAGGGCAGCTGTAATTTGCAGCCACCCAAGGGACCAAAAGGAAAGGAATAAAATCATTTGTGGGACAGTGTGATGGGGGGCTCCCAGTGTGATGGGGGAGAGGAGATCCCAAGGTTGAACCCCCAGAAAGAACTCAGAAAATAACAGTAAGAAGGACCTGAGGCTTGGGGCATCATTCCCCAAACGTTGAGACTAGGATTTGATTATACTAATAATAAAAAACAAACAAACAAACAAACAAAAGAGTAAGTAAAAGAGAAAGAACACAACTATAGATAGCTGCTACAGGGATAGAGAAGTTCATATTCAGAGGAAGATAATGGAGCTTAAAAAAAACACTCATTTTTCAATGAGAAATGTCAAATGGTCCTAAGCACAAAAATAATTCTTGAAAGAACTTAAAAAGGACTTTAAAAATCAAATAAGAGAGATCAAGGAAAAATTGGAAAATAAAAAGAGCAATCCAAAGAAATCAAGAAAATAAAGTCAACCAACTTGAAATGGAGATTCAAAAACTTGAGAAAGAAAAGAATTCTTTGAAAACTAGAATTATATAAAGGGAAGCTAATGATGTTCTAAGACACCAAGAAATAATAAAACAAAATCAAAAGAACTAAAAAAAGTGAAAGAGAACGTGAAACATCTCGTGAGAAAAACAACTGATCTGGAGAACAGATTGAGGAGAAATAATATAATAATAGTTGGACTACCTGAAAACTACAATAAAAAAGAATCTTGATACAATATTACAAGAAATTATCAAGGAAAAATGCCCTGAAGTTATAGTACGAGAAGGCAAAGCAGAAATAGAATAAAAATCCACCAATCACCAGCTGAAAAAGATCCAGGAGGAAAACTTAGAGGAATATCATAGCCAAGTTTCAAGGCTCTCAGGTTAAGGAGAAAATGTTGGAAGCAACAAGAAAAAAAAAACAATTCAAATATCATGGAGCTACAGTAAGGATTACACAAGACCTAGCAGCTACTACACTGAAGGACCATAGGTCTTGGAATACTATATTTCAAAGAGAAAAAGAGCTGGGGTTATAAACAAGGGTAACTTACCCAGAAAAGTTAACTATAATCCTGAATGGAATTTTTAAAAAAGACATTTAATGAACTGAAAGACTTTCAGGTATTTTAACAAAAACAGCAGAACTTAAGGATAAATTCAACATATAACATCCAGGAGAAATATAATGTAAATATTAAGAACCAATTATAAGGGACTTAATAAGGTCATAATGTAAATATTAAGAACCAATTATAAGGGACTTAATAAGGTCAAATTGTTTACTTCTAGTATGTGAAAATATCATCAGTTCTTTTATGACTGTCATTTTTATTTGGGTAGTCTTAAAGAAAGGCTTGGGCTGAGCTGAGTACAATGGGGTGGTTCTAAAAAAAAGTAAAACTATGTAGGGAAAGATTTAAAATGAGCAATTATCTAGAGGCACAAAAGGAAAAACTTATACAGTGGAAGCTAGTAGGGGGGAGGATGGGTAGTGCTGAAACTTTACTCTCAAGTAAGAGATAAATATATATATATATGTATATATATATATGTATATATATATATGTGTATATATATATGTACACACACAAGTACATCTATAGAGAGAATATATATATGAGTATATGTGTATATATGAGAGCATATATATATGTATGTGTATATGTATATGTATGTATAAAAGTCTTCTAAATTTGGAAAGAAATGAGAGGGCAAAGAGATAGGTTTGGGGGAGAGGATAAGGGAGGGACTCTTGGAGAGGTGGATAGATTAAGGAATAGGAGGGCAAGGTAGTGGGTAGAAGTAAAGTAGAGAAGTGAGGAGGGATAGGGTAAATAGAGTGAGAAGGATAGTGAGAAAAAATAGGAAGGAGGAAAATACACAAGTAATTGTAGCTTAGAATGTGAATGGGACAAATTTACCCATAAAGCAGAAACAGATAGCAGATTAAAAATTTGAATTCAACAATATGTTGCTTTCAGGAAACATTATAAAAATGAAAGATACACACAAAGACAAAATAAAGGGCAGAAGTAGAATTTAGTATGTTTAAAAAAAAAAGCAGGGATAGTAATCATGATCTCAGGCAAAGTTAAAATAGATTTAATGAAAAGTGAAAAATAGAGAAATTATACTATGTGTCAGCAATATTATTCAATATTGTTTTAGGCCATTTAAAATACCTGGACAGTATAAAATATCTGAGTGCATTACCTGCCAAAACAGACACAGGCACTGTATGAACATAAAATAAACATAAAACACTTTTTATACAAATAAACTCAGATCCAAATAATTGAGATAATATTTATTGTTCATGAGTAGGTACAGTTTTTTTAAATGACAATTTTACCTAACCTATTTATTCAATGTCATCCCAATTAAATTACTAAAAAATTATTTTAGAAAAAAATAATAACAGTTCAGTTGGAAGAACAAAAGGTCAGGAACTTCGAAGAAACCAGGAGAAAAAGATGTAAAGGAAGTAGATTCAGTAGTATCTGACCTTAAACTATATTATAAGATGAGAGTGTTGTTGAAATGTAAAAAAGGATAATTTAGATTATTTTAAATTAAAATTGCCTTGTATAAATAAAAACCTATGTTAGCCAAGAATAGAAGGAATGCAGAAAATTGGGAGGAAACTTTCATAGACAATCTCTCAGATAGGATGTGATTGGGTTGAAATATTGGTGTAGTGTAGGAAATGATGAGCTGGTTGGTTTAGAAAAACATAGAAAGACTTGGACTTAGGAAAGCAAATGCTATCCGCCTTCAGAGAAACAGATGATAGGAGGAAATAAGCATAGTGCAGTCTTACATATATGTATATGAGTGTATATGTGTATATATGTGTATGTTTATAGATACCTGTGTGTATATGTGTATACACACACTTAATTGTAGCCGTCTTTAGGGTGGGGAGGAGGGGAAGGAGGGGAAAAAATAAAGTAAAAAGTGCACAGCAGAGAACAAACGAAAACCAATAAGGAAGCAAAGAAAAACTGGGCAGCTTTGAAAATAATGTATAGTATTATATAGGTTTTCTTGAAATGGAAATGTATTGTTTTCTATTGAATCCTGTCTTATGGTCTGCTGTGTACATGGCAATATTTTTTCTTTCTTTTCTCACTTTGTATTTAAGTCTAAAATAAAAAAAATTACCAAAAACCACCCCAATAATTTCATGATAAAAAGCACTTTACAATTGAATTAACTGAGCCTAAGAGATGTTAAGTGATTGGGGCCATGGTGAGTAAGTGCGGGAGCCTAGATATGAAGCCAGTTTTCCTGAATCTTCTATATCCAACCTTCTTGCCACTTCATGATGCCATTCCCTCAGCTGCCCAGAGAAGCAGGCCAAAGGGATAGAGAAAGGGTGGTGGGAGGAGAAACTTCTATTGGCTGGAGGAAGAAAGGGTCACTTAGAAGATTTGGCAGCCTGCAACCAGCACTGTAGTGTAGTAGAAAGATCACTGAGTTGGGTTCTTGTCTTAGCTTCAATATCATGGAGCATACATTCTAAGAGGGGAGACAATTTGTAAATATGTAGGTACATAGATGGTATATACAGAACAGATAAAAGTAATCTAAAGGGGGGAAGGCATTTTAGCAGCTGGCCAGGACCAGGAAATACGTCCTGCAAAGAACTGACTCTGAATTGAGTCTTAATTTTATTTGTTTATTTATTTGTGGCAGCAATTGAGGTTAAGTGACTAGTCCAGGATCATACAGCTAGTAAGTGTCTGAGGCCAGATTTGAATTCAAGTCCTCCTGACTCCAGGACCAGTGCTCTATCCACTGCATCACCTAGCTGCCCCTACAAGTCTTTTTTTTTAAAATTTTTTTTATTTTTTATCTATCCCAAGATGGCATGCATTCTGAATACCCCTTCCCCTGGTCTGCCTTCTCTTCTATCTCTCCCGCCTCCCTTCTCTTATCCCCTTCCCCTTCTATTTTCCCGTAGAGCAGGATAGACTTCTGTACCCCATTTCCTGTATTTCTTATTTCCCAGTTGCATGTGAAAATATTTTTTTTAAAAAACATGTGTTTTTAAAACTTTGAGTTCCAAATTTTCTCCCTTCCTCCCTCCCCACCCACCCTCATTGAAAAGGCAAGCAACTCAATGTAGGTTGTACATGTGCAGTTATGCAAAACACTTCTTTAGTAGACATGTTGTGAAAAACTAACTCTATTTCCCTTAATCCTATCCTGCCCTCCCATTTATTCTGTTCTTTCTTTTGACCCTGTCCCTCCTCAGAAGTATTTGCTTCTGATTACCCTCTTTCCCTATCTGCCCTCCTCTCTATCATCCCGCTGCTCTCTTGTCCCCTTCTCCCCCTATTTTCCTGTAGGGTAAGACAGATTTCCATACCCAATTGAATGTGTATGTTATTCTTTCCTTAAGCCAAATCCTATGAGAATAAGATTCCCTTATTCCCTCTCACCTTCCCCTGTTTCCCCTCCACTGTGAGAGACTTTTCTGTTTTTTTTGTGAGATAATTTACCCCATTCTACCTCTCCCTTTCTTTCCGAGTATCATCCTCTCTCATCCCTTAACTTTATTCTCCAGATATGACCCCTTAATCTTCAACTCACCCTGTGCCCTCTATCTATCTATATATACATACATATAATTTTTTCCTTCAACTACCCTAATACTGACAAAGTTCTCATGAGTTACAAATATCATCTTTCCATGCAGGAATGTAAACAGTTCAATCTTAATAAGTCTCTTATGATTTCTCTTTCCTGTTTACCTCTTCATGTTCCACTGGAGTCCTGTATTTGAAAGTCAAATTTTCTGTTCAGCTCTGGTCTTTTCATCAGGAATGCTTGAAAGTCCTCTATTTCACTGAATGACCATTTTTTTTCCCCTGAAGGATTATACTCAGTTTTGCTGGGTAGGTGATTCTTGGTTGTAATCCTATCTCCTTTGCCCTCCGGAATATTACATTCCATGCCCTGCAGTCCTTTAATGTAGAAGCTGCTAAATCTTGTGTTATCCTGATTGTGTTTCCACAGTATTTGAATTGTTTCCTTCTGGCAGCTTGTAATATTTTCTCCTTGACCTGGGAACTCTGGAATTTGGCTACAATATTCCTGGGAGTTTTCCTTTGGGGATCTCTTTCAGGAGGAGATCTGTGGATTCTTTCAGTTTCTATTTTGCCCTCTGGTTCTAAAATATCAGGGCAGTTTTCCCTGATAATTTCTTGAAAGATGATGTCTAGGGTCTCTTTTTGATCATGGCTTTCAGATAGTCCAATAATTTTTAAATTCTCTCTCCTGGATCTATTTTCCAGGTCAGTTGTTTTTCCAATGAGATATTTCACATTGTTTTCTAATTTTTCATTCTTTTGGATTTCTTTTACAGTGTTTTGATTTCTCATAAAGTCACTGTCTTCCAATTGCTCTATTCTAATTTTTAAGGAAGTATTTTCTTCAGTAATCTTTTGGACTTCCTTTTCCATTTGGCCAATTTTTCTTTTTAGGGCATTTTCCTCCTCATTGGCTTTTTGGACCTCTTTTGCCATTTGGATTAGGCTGTTTTTTAAGATGTTATTTTCTTCAGTATTTTTTTGGGTCTCCTTTAGCAAGCTGTTGACTTGTTTTTCATGATTTTCTTGCATCACTCTCATTTCTCTTCCCAGTTTTTCCTCTACTTCCCTTACTTGCTTCTCAAAATCCCTTTTCAGCTCTTCCAAGGCCTGGGACTGATTCATATTTTTCTTGGAGGCTTTGGATGTAGGAGCTTTGATTTTGTTGTCTTCTTCTGGTTGTATATTTTGATTTTCTTTTTCACCAAAGTAAGATAATATAGTCTGACTCTCTTTGCGCTGCTTGCTCATGATCCCAGCCAATTACTTGAGTTTTAAACTCCTTGTTAAGAGTCTGCTTCCAATGTGGAAAGTGTACTGTCCCAAGCTTCAGGGGTTTGTGTAGCTGTTTTCAGAGATACTTGTAGGGACCTGTAAATTTTCAGTTCTACCAAGGTGGTATGATAAGGGGCCAGGTGTTTACTCCTTTCCTGGCCTGTGACCACAAGTATTCCTTTCTGTCCCTAACTGTGAGGAGGGGTTTCTCTCCACAGCCACTACAAGCTCCACCACACCAGCACTCCTCCTCACCCCAGCACTGACACCCAGAGAACTGTGACCCAGATCCACACACAGGGAAAGCAAGAGATTCCTGCTTCAGCACTGGCAAAGAGATCCCTGCAGTCCCTCTCTGATCAGCCACTGGATTCCCTCTCAGTCTGTGGGCCAGAAGCTCAGGAAGCAGCTGCCCCCCCACCCCGGCCAGGCTCTTGTCTTGGGCTGGAAATTTGTTTCACTCTGTCTTTTTGTGGGTTCTGCTGCTTCAGAATTTGTTTAGAGCCATTTTTATGAGTATTTGGAGGGGGTTGGGGGACAGCTCAAGCAAGTCACTGCTTTCACCCCCTACAAGTCTTAAAACAAATCAGGGAAACTAAGTGACTAGGCATGGGGAAAAGCCAGCGCAAAGGCAAGGAGATGAGGGATGAGTATTCTCTTTTCAGTTACAAAAAGGAGACCAGTGTCATTGGATAATTCATGGAAGTAATTATAAGAAGACTGGAAAGGTAGGAATGGAACAGGTCATGAAGAGCTTTAAAAGCCAAACAGAATACTATATATTTGATTGTGGAGGTAATAGGGAACCACTGGAATTTATAGAGCAGGAGAGTGACATGGTCAGACCTATACTTTAGGAAAACACCTTAGTAGCTGAGTGAAGAATAGACCAGAGTAGGGAGAGATTTAAGGCAGGGAGATCAGTTAGGAGGCTATTCCACAGTCTAACAAAAGATGATAAGGGGCTGATCCAGGGTGTGACTGTGAGCAGGAAGAAAGAAGTGTATATGAAAGACATTATGATGGTACAAATGACAAGATTTGGCAGTATATTATTAGATATATTAGATAAATAGTCAAGGATGGTACTGAGGTTTCAATCCTGAGTGACTGAGAGGATAGTTGACAGTAATAGGGAAGCTTGGAAGGAGAGGGTCATTTGAGGGGAAAGAAAAAATTGTGCTTTGGCATGTTGAATTTAAGATGCTTTTAGGATATGGAGTCTGAGATGTCCAAGATGTCCGTGCCTCTTGAAAGCTCTCAATTGGAGATGTGGGACTGGCGCTCAGGAGGGAGATTAGGGCTGGATATATAAATCTGGGAATCATCGGCACAAAAGACAATCAGTCCATGGAAGGTGATGAGATCACCAAATGAGATGGTTCAAAATAAAAAAAGAAGGGGGCCCCAGGGCAAAGATTTGGATATTGCCTGCAATTAAAGGATATGACATGGTTGAAGAATCAGCAAAGGAAACCAAGAAGGAGCAGTCAGATGACAGGAGGAGAACAATGAGAGAATAGGATCATGAAAATCTAGAGAAGAGAGAGCACCAAGTCTCATAGGCTACAGAAAGATCAAGGAGGATCAGAATGGAGAAAAAGCCATTCAATTTGGCGGGTAAGAAATCACTGGTAATTCTGGAGAGGGCAGCTCCAGAGGTCAGTGGCCAAATTGCAGAAGGTTTTGAAGCCAGGGAAAGGAGAATAAGTAGTGGCACTGATTGTAGAAGGCTTTCTCCAGCTTCCTTCTAGCTTTGGGACCTGTGATTTTAGTACCTTTGGCTAAAACACATCACTACTCTGGGCCTCATTTCTCCCATCAAATAGGAGGAAGCCAGACTAGATGGACTCAAAGGTCCCTTTAAGATTTAGATTCTACATTTCAGTCCTCTTTTTCACTTCTAGAGATAATCACATTTGCATGCATGCTCTGGGAATCTCTGAGGTCCGTAGAATCACTGAGGAGAGAACTTCAAGAAGCCTCTACGGGCCTCTTGATTCTGATTTCTAACCCTCATCACTCACTCAGTCTGGCTTGTAGAGATGCTACACTTCTGTTTCCTTTTCATAAATAAAACTCAGACATTCCCTCAGAAATAGCCAGAAGCGAGCTCAATGAATGCAAATGAAGCCCCGGCACCCCCTGAGAGACCTCCACTTGGCTCTCCCTGCCTCTGCTTAGAGTCCACAGATTATCTACATGTGAGTAAGGATAATATAATAAGAAGTCATTTATATAGCACTTTAAAGTTTGCAACATGCTTTATGTGCATCTTCTCGTTTGATCCTCACCTTGTTAAGGTGGTAAACCAAGACTATTAAGCTCATTTTCTAAAGTGTGTCAAGTAGGGGATGTTGGCAGCAATGGGAAAAGTGGCATCAAGTCACACAGGAGGTTGGATGGTCATCCTTAAACCGTATGTTTCATTGTGAGCAAGCATCATGAAATGCGAGGACGTTGGTTTTGGAGCCATCCAAAGGCTTTGGCTCCAGTCCTGCCTTTTCCACCTCCACAACTTGTGTGAAGTCCCATCTCTCTGGCCCCTTTTTCCTTATCTTCAAAACTGAATCCTTTGGCCTCTTTTGGCCTCTGAAATTCTGTGATTCTCTGGCCATGGAGACTTCTAGGGAGCTTTTCTGTGAGGTCTGGTCTGGGATCAATCCACTTTAGGGCCCATGGTGCAGGTAAATTCAGTTTTCATCCTTTGGATTGTAGAATGTTAGCCTTAGATAAGATCTTGGAGATCATTTAGTTGTTGTTGTCATTGTTGTTGAGTCATTTCAGTCATGTCCAACTTTTTGCAACCCCATTTGGGGTATTCTTAGCAAAGGTACCACAGTCATTTCCCATTTCCTTCTCCAGCTCATTTTCAGATGAGAAACTGAGGCATACAGGGTTAAGTAATTGACTTGCCAGGGTCACATAGCTAGTAAATGTCTGAGGCTGGATTTGAATTCAGGTTCTTCCGATTTCAGGGCCAGCACTCTGTCCACCACCTAGCTGTCCTGATTATCTAGTATGACTCCATTTTATAGATGAAACTGAGGTATTGAGAGACAGAATGACCTATTTAAGTGCTGAGGGTGAGCCAAGAGTGAGTGTGTCTAAGGAAATGAGTGACTATCTGTGACTCACACAGGTCCTCACAGGACAGGATTGTTCATCCTCAATATTCTCCCCACCACTCAATCAGTCAGTCAATAAGTGTTTATTAGTCACTCACCTTAAAAATGCTGGAGAAGGACAAAAGATATTTCCTGCTCTCAAGGAATTCACAGTCTATGGGGGAGACAACACGAAGACAACTATGTACAAATAAGATATATACAGAATAAATCAGAGATAATCAATAGAAGGAAACCACAAAGCTGATCCTTAGGTCAACCACATTCTTGATTGTACTCCTGAATCTCAGAAAAGGTCTTTAGCTCAGCCATTTTGAGGAGCATCTATGTTATTCTCCTAGGACTCTTCCTAGGAATTCAAAGCCCTGGATGACATAGAGAGAGGTCCCATAGTCCTAGGGAGAAAAGGTACCACCAGATTCCCTGAGTCTGTTGAGAGCTTTGGGATGGGGAAAAGAAAATCTCAGTGACACCAACTTGTATGAGAAATGTTGGTGTGGCTCTGGGCAGAAATTGAGATTGTGTTATTCATAAGGCTAGACAGACAAAAGTTCTCTTCGAATCCACTCATTGTTGGTAGAGGTGGCAAGGGAGGACTGGCTTCACAGACTATAATTATGGGAGGTAGTTGAGTGAGAGCCTGAACTACCAGCCCCACTATGGAAGATGTCGTCTGCTCACAATGTACCTGGATTGGAGGAGAGGTGATTTATATACGTGGTTTGAGAAATGGTGCAGGTCTGCCTATAGGCCATAGGTTGGACTAGTTGAGAGCTGTGCTCCAAACCCTCCAAACATAACTCTGGAATGTGGCCTAGCTTCCCAGAAGCATCTTTCTCAGGTTGGAACAACTATTAAGGGGCCTTTGGATCAGGTCTCCTGATAGGAAGGCCATCTTATCCCAGAAAACTTTGCTCGCCTGCTCTGTCCTGACTCTAATACCTAAAGGAAAAGAGGGATCATGGTGCTCATCCAATTACTAGTTGGGCATGGAGTGAATTGATAGGAGTGAACTTAGTAAGTAGCATTTTGTAGTGAAGAAAAGCACTGGAGTCGGGATTAGGGGGACTGCTTTTAAACTCTACACTGCTAATTTCTTGATGTGGAACCTTGGAAAAAACATTCACTCTATTAGGTCTGTTTTCACATTTTATAAATGAACTTGTTAGATTTAGTGGTTTCTAATGTCCCTCCCAGCTCTAGATCTCTGATCCTGGTTATGGGAGCCCTAGTTTCTGTCTGAGGCCTTCTTAGGTTAGACTAATCCCACTTTTCTGGGGCTCAATTTGCTCACAGGTATCACTCAGGACCCTTTTACCTTTGGTACTGTCTCTGAGTCACATGGAGGGGTAAAAGGTGAGAAATTTAGCATTGGGAGGTGAGTTTTGTCTTGTAAATAAACTCAAGGGATCCTGAAGGGTGGACTATTAATCCCCAAACCCTCTCTCTATTTCTCAACTCGTGGGCATATGATCATAACCATGGTAACTGCTCTTCATGGAAGTCGTGGTTAGAAACCCCTACATTATGTTCTAGCCCTGCTGATCACCCCAATTCCCAGATCAAGGTCAAGATAGGGGATCCCTCTGCAATCTGGCAATCCTCAAATTTCCTTGCACCTCTAAATCCTGTGATTCTGTAATTCACAGAATGCTGTCCATCGCTCCTCTTTGTGAAAGAACTGATCAGAAGAGGCTCACCAGTCACAAAGCGCTTTGTCCCAGCGGCACCTAGTGGTAAAATCAGGAACTGTAATTCTTCCAAGCAGTGAAGAGGAATTTTGTTAGGAGTGGGGTTCAGATGGGAATGGGAAGGGTACCCATAGCCAATAATACTCTTTCAGGCCTAAGTCTTTGCCCAAAGGAGTACTAAGATCTTTGTTACTCTTCCTTCATGCCCATTCACCAGAACATCTCACCCTGCTTCCAATTCTGCCATCTCTCTGGGTGGAGGATTAAACCACTACTTTCCTTTCCTGCTATAGTCCTCCTGCTTCTGTGGGCACTGGCTCATTGGGAAATGGTATGGTCTTGATTGTGACATAGAGAGGGGATGGGCATTCGAACATGGCTGCCTGGATGTGTTTACATAGGAGACCTTGTGTTGCTGTTTGCAGGAGAATGAAATGCCGCTTCACCCCCCATCCACCCCCTCCCCCATTCTCTACCCCATAAACATTTCCCTCGAGATGTCCATCTTGGGTATTCAGTGTGTGTGTGTGTGTGTGTGTGTGTGTGTGTGTGTGTGTGCGTGTGTGTGAGAGAGGGAGAGAGAGAGAGAGAGAGAGAAATGTGTGTGTGTGCGTGCGCCATGCCTTCTCACTCCCCCAGAACTGACAGCAGCCCTGATACAGCGGGTTCTTTGTCTCCTGCCCGCCTGCCTATCACAGCTCTGAGAGAGAGAGAGAGAGAGAGAGAGAGAGAGAGAGAGAGAGAGAGAGAGAGAGAGATTTAGTCAGGATCTTCTTTGGAATTTTAATATGCCCAGTGTTAAGGCCAGAGCTGCTGAGCTGGGCCATCTCCCTGATGCAAACAGTAAAGCCATTTTGAAGAGGCAAGACAGCTCCAGTGTATGAAGGAGTATCTTAGAGAACCCGGGGACCGCACCCCTCCTGACATTTCCTGGCAGCTTATTCCACAGAACCACAGAATCTTAGCCTTGGCCTTAGAAGTCATCTACTCACTCTCTTGTCTAGTGAAGGAATCTCTTCATCAGCGTCCCTGACTGGTGACCATCTGATAGCCTCTAACTGAATAGTGACTCTCACAAGCAAGGCAGCTCTGTCCTTTGTTAGATAGCTTGAATAGCTAGAAAGTTCTCATAGGGTCATATGATCATAAGTTTAGAGCCAAAAAGGACCTTGGAGGCACCATGTCCAACCCTACCCCCATTTTGCAGATGAGGAACTGTGTTTCAGAGAAGTTATAAGAATTCCCCAAGGCCATGCAGGTAGTAATCAGAAGAACTGGGATGTGAGTAGATCTCTTCTTAGGGCAAATCCAGCATGCCATGCTATCTGAACCAAAATCTGCCTCCATGAAACACTGTATAAAGAAGTGACTGGAAGCAGGAATATATAGAGCTGTGAGGGCCATCTCCTCCTGTGTCTGAACACTTCTTTCTACTTCTCCTTCTGTATTGCACTTTATATTTAAACATCTTAGGGAGATGTGGTGGCACGGTGAGAAGTGTAGTAATGCTGAAGCCAAGGGAGCTGGGTTCAAATCCCATCTTTGATACTTATGAACTGTGTGACTTCAGAAAAGTCATTTTACTATTTCTGGGCCTCTAATTTTATTCTTCAGCTGTAAAATGAAGGGATTTGATTCGGTGGCCTTTGAGGTACCTTCCAGTGCTATATCTTTTCGGTCCTGGTTCTTCCCTCCTGAGCTACAAATAAAAACTTTAAAATAACTGTGATGTCCTCAATAAGTCTCCTCTTTTCTAAGCCAAATGTCTCCAGATCCTTTAAACCACCCCTTATATATTACCAGGTTTCCAAATGACTCATTATCCTAGTCACCATCCTCTGAATATCTTTCTGGCTTGTCAATAACTCTCTGAAAATGTGGCACCTAGAACTGAAGACAATACCCAAGATGCAGATGTGCCCATAACAGTGCAAAATACAGTGGGATTACTTGGTTCTGGACCTTGACTTCACAGAATTACAGAATCTCACCAATAATTCCATGAATGCAGTTGAGTAAGAAATAGTCCTCCAGATTCCACATTAACATAATGGAAAGAGCTCTGGCCTTAGAGGACCTGGGTTCAGATCCCATCTCTAACATTTAATACCTGTGTATTCTCTGCCTCCATGGGACCCATTTTTCTATTCTGAAAATGAGGGGGTTGGACAAGATAGTTTCTGAGGTTCCTTCCAGTTCTTGTCTATGTGGCTAGGTCCAGGGCAAAAATGTTCCTTCTACTTGGGTAACTATTGTCCTAGAATCTTGAAGCCAAATTTGGGGCTACTTTCTGGACATCAGGCAGGAGCTACAGGATGAAAAGTGAAAACTCTCTCAGGATAGCCAAATTCAGAAATGTTGGAAGGTGGAAATTTGGGAGCATCTGGACTTCCTTCAGCTTTTCTCAACATTCTTAAGAAAAGCTCACACCCAGGGAGTAGGGGAAAATGGGACATAGTGGGAATTTAGCATAATAAAGAAACAATTCCTTTACGATATCTTTTTTTTTCTTTTTCAGCTTGCCTTTACCTTGGATCTTCAGCTAGACATGAGTCTTCAAACCAAGAACTTCAAATTCAATGGCAGAGCTTGGCATTGTGTGTCTAACTGGTCCTCTTTGCTGTAACCAAAAATATCCAATGGCTTCAGGAGTGGAGGCAGAGGAAGAGGAAAGGTCTATTTAAGGAAGTGTCAGAGCATTCACTAGTCATTCAGATAAATGAAGATAGCTATTGTATGCAAAAGAAAATAGATTTATTTTGCTTCATTCCAGAAATTAGGACTAGGACCAAATAGCCAAAACTCTTAAGCAAGAACTCAAATACAATTCATTTCTGGGAGTCTCAGGGGTAAAGGAATGAGGTAGTCACAACAGGGAATCATCTTCATAACTGTTGTCTCAGCATCCTCAGGAGACAGAGAAACATGTATGCTGTGGAACTCCAGAGTCTGGTGTGGTGGGTCACAGAAGAACCCAGGATTTGTGATTACAAGGATATTGGATCAGATGTTCTCTAAATTACCTTCCAGCACTGAATCTTATGAAATTTTAAAAAAAAATTATTTTTATTTTGCACTTAAATACCAAACAAAATGGGCATTTTTATATACCTAATAGAACAAAAGAGGTGATTGTATACGAAACCTTAAATCTCTGTTATGTACAGCTTGCTTTTTAAAAGTATAAAATAAATTCAACTTGTAGCTTTCAAAGCTATCCTCCTTGAATCCGCTTCCTTCTGGCCTTCCTTCTGTTCTCTTCTCTGCATAAAAAAAATCCTCAATAATCCTCTTTTCTTTATATTTTGGTGCCATAGCCCTATCCCCCCTCACCCTCTTAACCACCACGATGGGGAAAAAGAATAGAGAAACAAAGGCCTTGTAACAAATACACATATAGTTAAATGAGACAGATTCTCACATGGTCTGTTCCCAAAATTGTATGAAACTTTTCTATGATGTCTCAAATCCAGAAACATTAAGAATTAATCTGGCAGGAACCAAAAAGCAAACAGTAAAAAATTCTAAGTCATGCCCAGCAGTGCCAACAAGACAACCATTTAATTCAAGGATGGACAGTGCAATAAATGTCCACACTATATGAGATTTCATATCTAGGATGGCATAATTCCTCCACAAAACTTTAAATAAAAATCTGTTCATGGCCAATGAGATAAGCTCATTGGACAAAGAGTAAGGGGTCCTCAGTGTTCAATAAATATTTGTTAACCGATTAATTGATTTATAGTCTGGAAAGTAGTTTTGACAAGATAAAATAGATGGTGGTTTAAAATGACTGTCAGCCTAAAAGCCTGCCACAGGATGAGGACAAGACAGAGGTTTTTACCCTGGAGTTTATTAACTAATTTTGAAAAAATATTTTGATAGCTATTTCAATCATTAGATTTTTTTGTAATTTCTTATATTTTATTTTATGAATTTAAAAACATTATCCTGTTCTCTAGCTGACAAATGGCCAAAGGATAAGAATAGGCAGTTTTCAGAGAAAGAATTCCAAGCTAGCCATAAAATTCTCTAAATAATCAGAGAAATGTAATTGAATCTATCTCACACTTATCAGATTGGCAAAGTTGACAAAAAAAGAAAAATTACAAAAGTTGGAGAGGCAATGGGGAAATAGGTACATTAATGCACTATGATGGAACTATGAATTGGTTCTGCCATTCTGGAAAGCAATTTGAAAGTGTGTCCAAAAATTATTAAACTGTGCTTTTTGTGTGTGTTGACAAAGAATTGGGAACTAAGGGTACCCACCAGTGGGAGATGGCTGGACAAATTATGGCATGTGAATATAATGGAATATTAATGTGCTGTAAGAAATTATGAAGGAGAGAGTTTCAGAGTAATCTGAGAAGATTTTTATGAACTGATGTGATGATAGATGAATGAAGTAAGCAGAACCAGATGAACAACTTATACAATAACAATATCGTAAAGACAAATAACTTTGAAGGATTTAAGAACTCTGATCAATGCAGTGATGAACCATGATTCCAGAGGACCCATGATAAAACATGATACCCATCTCCTGACACAGAAGTGATGGACTCATAGAGCAGATTGAGACATATAGTTTTTGAACATGGCCAATGCAGAGATTAGTTTTGCCTAACTATTGGTATTTGTTACAAGGGTTTTGTTTTTCTTTGTTCTTTTCAATTGAGGGATGGGAGTGGGAGGGAAAGAAAATACATTCTTATTCATTAAAAGAGATAAAATCGAATTCCTAAAAACCTTTTTTCTATTTGTATCCTTGGTGTTTAGCATGCTGTCTGGAGCATAGCAAGCACTTAATAAATGCTTTTCATTCGTTCGTTATAGAGGACTTAATGAAAAGATGATATGAGCTGGACTAGAGCATAAGAGCAAAAGAAAAGAGAGATAATCCAAAGGGCTAAGAGACTGGGAACCCAGAGTCCCCTTTTGGAAACACACTTCAGGCCTATATTGGAATCGAATCACTAGGTTCTGTCAGAAAAAGACAGAAATGAAAGAACAAACTTCTAGAGGTCCAGGAAGGGGTGTAAGCATCATTCACCTGAGTGACCCAGAGGAGCTGGGTGGGGAAGAACTTGTTAATTCTTTCCATGACTAACTACTCCAGGCAGAAATTTCATGGTAAAGGAAAAAGTCCTGGAACTTTAAGGGGAAACTTGTGGGCATGCAAACAAATATATAGGACCCATGACCTTGTAGTCGTTTAGTTAAGCATATTAAATAGCAACCTCTGCCTGACTCCATAAACTGCCTCTTTCAGCCCAATATCTATACTCCTTTTACTCTG